CGCCCTGCTGGCGCTGGCAGCTGCTCGTCAAAACCTGTACGCACCAGCCACCCTCTCTGTTTTTCCCCTCAGGCCCTCACCCCAAGCAGAAACTTTCGAGTGTTATCTGCACTCTTACAGCAGACAGGAAAACTGTTCTAAAACCACAGATGCTAGGTACCCATCCACCCATAATATCCAAGCTTCCAATTTCTGGTTTTGCCAAGATGACTACAACTACACAAACGCATTAAAAATGCATTTGTCCTTAAAATACAAGTTCTGCACAGCTGCAGCTAGCAGCCTGGTTTGGTGGAAATTAGTTTGCTGTAGTTTTTCAAATTTGGAAACATTCTGTGAAATTATGTAAGGTGCCATAATACTATGTGTTTGTAAATATTTCAGCAGCCCTTAGATGGCCCCAATTCTGATTACGTTTTCTAACACAACTTAAAGCTGTTCTGCATAATAGTATAAACATGGCGATACGTACCTATCTACGGATGACTAGCTTTTCTGAGATCAAATTATTTTCAGTTCCTCTTTAGCAGACAAAGCAGACAATCACTTTCAGGGCAGGATGCCTGGGCTTTTCATCAGAAATCATGCATCCCTAGTAGTACAAAGCTAAATCCTACATTGTGCACAAAGCAGAGGTGAATCTTAGTAGAATTCAAGAGACCTGCTGATGCAGAAACCAAAGAGGTCACACTTAATAGCACAATACTACTAATAACTGAGACTTGACTATTGCACTGAACAGGTAAGTTACATGAACCAGCCCTCAATAATGCAACTTTTGTACCTGACTACAAGGCTTGCCTAGCAGGGAAAAATAGCTTTAATAAATCAATCACCTAGTCTGTGAAAGACTATGTTACTACTATTATGAGTAAGTGCTTCCAAAACCCAGGACCACAACAAAAGATGAGATTTCATTATGAGAGTTTCTTCTGGACTACAGAGAAACAAGTTTAATTACGTTTCTCTTTAAATCGGCATCTAACTCCCTGATTTGCTCACAGATACTCCCCCAACTTTCCATTTTACGTGGCTGTTAATTCCTGGGTTCCCCTTTAGTATCGTGGTAGGTTGACCCAGGCAAGAAAGTAAGCACCTACCAGCTGTTCGCGTATTCCTCCAACTCCCTCCTTCTCCCCAGTGGCATGAGGGAAGAGAACTGGAAGAGCGAACACGGGAGAAAAAGGCCTGGGGTGAAATAAAGACACTTTAATAAGTGCAGGACAAAAATGAACAAAAGTAAGAACAAGTGATGCAAAGGCGATCTCTCATTATCTCCTACTAGCAGCCAGATACCTTGGAAAGACCACCACCCGCCCCCCAGCCGTGTTGCTGAGGATGATGTCACCTGGCGCAGAACAGCCCTGGGGTCTGTTTGGCACAGCTGTCCCAGCTGAGTCCCAGCCTCCCACCCCCCCCCAGCCCACGCGCGGCAGCGGCAGCGTGAGAAACGGAGAAGGCCTTGATGCCGTGCAAGCACTGTTCAGCAACAGCCAAAACATCAGCATGTTATCAACACTGTTTTGGTCACAAATCCACAAGACAGCACCGTACGGGCTGTGATGACCATCAGCTCCATCCCAGCCAGGCCCAGTATAGACATAATCCGTCTAGGTCTCTGAGAAATGAGCCCAGGTGTTCTTCTGGGCTTAGGCATGCCATGAGCCCTTCACCACCAGCAAGAGGGGTAGGAACAAACCTGCCTGCCTTGTCAGGCCTTCACCCTTCAGCATCTTCCACTTCAGGTGATGCAAGGCACATGTTGATAGGATTTAAAAGGAAAAAAAAAAGCAGGCACACTTTTCCCACCGCGTGAGCACCATGGTGTCTCCAAGCCAGCACGTGGGCCCAGCAGTGCAGGCCAGGCGTTTGCTAGGCCGGCAGCGCAACTGCGGCGCTTTGGAGGGGCGCCCGGAGGACCAGGGTTTCTCGCACGCGGGCAGCAGCCCTGCAGTGCCATTAGGACCGCTAACGCACAAGATCTGGCGAGAGCAGCAGGCCGCATCCTGCCCAGAAACTGCTGAGAGCAACCGGGGCTGCGGGGTGGAGCGTGTGT